CACGCTCATCGCCCATGACGACGTTGTAGCATCGCGTCTTCTCCGATGTGGAGATCTTGCACCCATTTCCAAAATACAAGTCCTACAATCCCTTCTATATGGTCGATGGCCTTGACGAATATGGGCTTCCCAGGCTTCCTCTGACGTCATCTTGGCCAAGTGTGGCTCTTCACCCGCAGTTTCATCGCCTTCCCGTTTGAGATGTCGGTGAAGCGCTTCTCGGATGGCAGCCCTTAATCCCGGTGCCCATACCGCCCAGGTGGACGACAAATGGCAACGGTCTTTGATGTCCTTTGGCAGGGCCTCGGAGTGCTTGGTGCTGCGTTGATCTTCCAAGTCTCTCATGTCCTCCAGGTTTGTGAGGCACGTGGTCGGTTTCCGTCGTGAGTGCCCAAAGCACCCTTGATCAAAGGATACCAAACCCATTCCTTGGTAGCGGAGCAGCTGCATTAACTCCGGCCATGCCCAAAAGCTTGGACTTTCTTCTTCGCGAGCTTGTGGAACATACGTCAACGGATCCTGTGGGCTCTCCAAAAGGAAAGCGGTTCTCACACGATGACGCTCGCGGCATTCTTCAGACCTTATGAACAGGCCAATTTGTTTCAGCAGCAGTGCTGCATCTGAATCAGCCAAGTTCTTCTCCCGGTCTGTCAATCCTGGTAGACCATACCGGTCATGGAAACGTCCACGCAATGGTCTTGGTCCCGGTTGTTTCTGCCTCAATCGGCTGACCGTCCGACAGGGAGGTCCCCCGATGATAGCAAGAAGTTTTCCCAGGCTTGCAAGTTTCCAAAGGAAACTCCATGTTCCCGGATTGTGTATATCTTGATTTCGACCTTCATTGATATCCAAAGTGATGACTTCAATCCCATTGATGGGATTCTTTCGCCATTCCTTCGCCCTTTCTCCAGCAAAAAGGTGGACTATAACCCCTTTTGAGGTGAGCAGCCTCCTTCTTTTGTGCCGGTTCCATGGTAAATCATGGTTCATTTGCGGATCTTCTTCATCTTGACCCCGCATGTAATTCCAAATTCTGTCCGGTGTTTCCGGAAATCGTGATCCCCACCACTTCTTGGTCTTCTCCGTGGGCTCTTCCAAGGTGAGCCGATGGTTGGTCCTCTTTTCCATTTCCATGTGCTCAATCTCAGTGATCAGAGCCAGAGCGTGGTCCTTTCAACCACTGGACACCCAGACCTTAACCAACATTCTATGTTTCCCAGTCGTGGATGTTTCACAACACATCCTGCACGGGACCAAGTGATGGTGTATCCCAATTCCACCAAACCTCGAAGAGGTACAATTGGTTCCACCGGTCCCTCCGACAAGAGGGTTCCATTCACAGGATTTTGATAGAGCTGAGCAGCTCCATGTGCGAGTTCCACAGTGACCTGCACCGCGTTCTTGATCTCCTCGGTTGATCCCTGTCTCAAGGGGTGTGTCGCCCCACCATCCAATAAACCTGTTCCATCATCAAATTCAACTTCGAGATGATCCCCACCATGCCCCACCGATTTCAAGACCGGTCCATTGAGACCCTTCAAAAGGTTGGTCACTTCTCCCACAACCTTGTTGGCCTCCTCTGGTACAGGGGTTATAGTGACCGTGGACTCCTTCATCGGATTGATCTTCACGGTAGGTTCAGAATGTTCTTGAGCAGCACCTCCCTCTTTTCCAGGACCATTTTTCCTCTCTTGAGATCTTGAGCGGATTCTTGTGGTTTTGGCCACCTTTGGTTCCTCGGATCCACCTTGTGGACCTCGTGACTCACTTCGTTTTCCCGCCGGACAATCACGTCGGGAGTGTCCCCTTCCAGAACAGTTGAAACATCGGCCATCTTTGGAGTCCAGGACAGTGTGCGTGAATCGGCACCGGTCAGCATATTGGCATCCCTTATCTGTCAGCCAGTTGATGCACGCAGTCTTGTGGACCACATTAGCCGCGTTAATCGGCAGCTCGGGCTTTTCTCCCCTCCTTCCGGTGGAAGAACCTGCTGCGTCTTCTGGTTTTCCCTTTGAAGCGCCCTTTGGTGGGTTTCCAGATGAATCCGGCCCACTCATTGACTTCACCCCTACCACATTATTGGGTTTAGCCGCTGGGCCCTGTGTTATGTTCCCCGGTTGACGGAGAGCCATTTCACCAGCTTCAGCTTGAAGAAGTTCAGAAAACGTTCTGATCTCTTGCATTCCCGGCCGGAGATCTATGCCCAAATGCTGTCTCACCGAAGACAACCGGTAGGCAGCTTGAGCTCCCCCCAATCTGGCCAAGGCATCACTCATTTTTGCGACCACTCCGGCCAAAACCAGAGGATCGGGCAAAACCAATTGAAGTTCTTCGGCACGAACCACCCATCTTCTCCACTTCCGGATGGAGTTGACCATCTCTGCAGCATTATTAGATGGACATTTCCAGTCCACCAACATTTGCAGCAGGGCAGTTCTTTCCACTTGTCCCCCAGGTTGGAAGACGGTGTACAGCTTGAACATGACTTGACCCGCTGACATGTGTCTGTTCGCCACAAGGTCCTCGTAGATGTCCTTGGGGACGGCTTGAAGCAGCATACCCACCACCCGTTTCTCTGTGCGAGGCCACCTACGGGCCATGTCAGGTATCACAGGCGCCATCCGGAGCCTCATGAGTGGATCCGCTTGCAACCAGTGGTGGTATGCTTGTTCAACAGCAGTCATCACTACTTCCCACCATTGCTCTGTGGTGTAGCTCACATCCCCAATCATCTGTTGGGCAACTGTCAGCCAGTCTCCAAAGTCCAAAGATGTTGCATTCCTGTCCAGCTTCGGCAATTCGACCGATCTTAGCGTTTCGCCTGGTACTTCTCCCCCTGCCTGAGGTCCTGCTTGGACTACAGCTTGTTGTTGTTGTGGCGGTGCAGCTTGTCCTGGATTTCCTTGGTGACCACCTGGGAGACCGGGATTTCCCTGATGACCACCTGGCGGACCAGGTGCTTGTCCGGGATTTCCATACTGCCCTGGCGGTGGACCCCTGGCCAACCATAACCACCCATAGGTCCGGTGTTTCCTCCCGGAAATGCAAAAACCCCTTGAGGTCGATGATCTTGTCCTGCAGGTGCTCCTCCAACATGGACTTGAGGATTATACCATTGATTAGGTTGGTCACCGATGAAAAAGTGTTTTGTGTTTTCCGTGGCTCCCATGCAAGGAACTCCCATCGGTGGTCTTGACGCCGCTCTCTGCGGCATACCTCCCGGTGGTATTCCAATTAGCCACCCTTGATTCATATACACATCCATCGGCCGAAAACCTTGTTCGACCTTGGGCGCAGGAGGAACATTCCACAACTGACCTCCCGCCTGCATTTGAAGATCTTGATCATGGTGATGTTGAACTCCTGGAACTGGTTGATCTTGCACATGTTGTACCTGGGGTGGAACACCTTGAGGTGGCCCCACAGGAAAACCCTGCTCGACATTCTTCAGCTCCGGCGAGGCGGTTTGATAAGACCCCCCACTTGACTGAGAGCCCTTGTGACCTCCTCCGGCTTCTCGGACCCGTTCCAGGGCACGTTTCTCTTCCCGCGTGGCTAACCAATTTTCTCGATCTTGTTGGATCTCGGTCTTGCCCCGTTGAAAGAATTCCATCATTTGCTGTTTCAACTCCTCATACTTTTCCTTCTCCCTCGCGTCCGCCTGATCAATCAGGTCTTGCGACACTATGGGATAAGTCAGCTCTTTCACTGGAGTTTGTGGACTGCTCATTAGAGCTTCCACTCGCTTGGCAGCACTCCATGGATTCGTTTCCTCTGCAGCCATGACCCCGGTTACAATCCCAGGATCCACAACCGCCGTTCCCCACTGAGGCACCATTCCCGTAGGTGGCACTCCAGCACACATGGATTGCTGGGACATCCCAGCTACTTGCGAACCCTGTGTTCCACCAGTTGCGGTATACACCACAGGTGCTCCCGCTGGCTGGTAGATCACAGGTGAGCCTGTTGGTGCCGCTGGCACCGATTGTTTGACGCGTGCATCTTCAGGAGACTCAACAGGTGAACGTCCCGGTCGCTCCAAAAGAGCAACGGTTTCCACAACAGCAGCCGCACCTCCACTCACTTCAGTTGAGCTTTGGTGTTTTCCACCCTGTCCTTCTTCTCGATTACCCACAACAGGTGGTTCACGAAATCCCTCAGACATCCGGGCAACTACTGGTGTTTGTGTCATAGGCACTCCCGAAAGAGTTAGACTATTCACACCTGGGGTCAAACCAGACAACAGACCGCCACTCCCATTTCCTCGTACCACTTCAAGTCCAGGAGGTTCTTCAGGTGGTAAGGACACTGGTCTTGCGACTTCTTCCGCAACAGCCGGATTCTGGGCGATTCGTTCGCCCGCTCCAGCCCGGACCGCCGCAACCTGCACTAGGGCTCCACTTCCCCCAGCACCGGTCAGTGCCATCACACTTTCTCCAACTTCCCCTTCCATCAGTGATCTTCGGGTTGAGTCTGATGATCTTGTCCCTGTTCTTTCCCCATGTGCTTGTCCAGGTGCGTCCATCTCCTCCAGAAGCCGGTCCAGCATTTGGTCTGCCGTTTCCGCGCGTTCTTCTTTTCCATGTCCATGGGTCCCATGTTGTACTTCTTCAGCATGAGCAGCCGCTTGAACTTGGCGTTCTTGTCGACGACGCTGAGTGAAGTCGCTGCTCGACATTGCTTCAAGGCAGCGTTGGGGTTGGGCTCATAACCCACGGGTTTCAGACTATGACCAAGACCCTTCCCGGAGGTCCCCAACAAGAGGCAGAATCCACAACAAAGTAATCGTTTAAAACGTTCATACTGCGAAATGCTTTGCGCATTTGCTGGGAAATCTGGGAATTGAAATTCAAATGTCTTAGTATTTACCCTCTGGTAAATTAACATAGACCCTGGCAGATAGGGGTCGGAAGACTATTTTCCATTAAAAATTGGTGATTTTCAGGGTCTATGTTTATGCACCAGAGGGTAAATTGCTGAATTCACTTGATCCAAGCAGCTCGGTACTGCACCGTAAGCCCAACATTGCTAGGTCCAGAGGGATAAATTCTGATCCTGCCGCTGCTCTCAGCGGATGATCAGGTGCTGCAAAAACCAACAAAGCACATAAAGCACATAGAAAGTGAAGATTGTGAAGATGTTGAAGATAGTAAAAACAGTAAAGGATTTGTGAAAGCAAGAATTATAGAGTAAGATTTGAATAAAAAACACCGATTTCCCAAGTTTGTTTTCATTCTCACTTGTTTAAGCTGTCCTGTCTCGGCCTCTACAGGATCCTGTCATCCTATTCTTCAGTTCTTTATCTAGAAAATACTGTAGAAACAAATGATACATTACATACACCTCTTTTTAGAAACGCTTTTAGAAATGCGTTCCATCCTTTTTTTTCACATGGACTAAAAAATCTCGGAGCGCTCTCCTCACAAAGCCTTCGCTGCCATGTTCCTCTGCTTGCTGCAAAACTGGCAACAGAGGAGCTGAGACCTGCACCAGGTCACGAACTCTCCACTGCAAATGATTGAGTTGTGAGTAAAAAAACTGTGATTTTTCTGTGATTTGATAAAACCGTGTTTTATATTGTGTTGTTGCTATCATCATGATTATCTTGGTCAACTTGCTTTTGAGCTTTCCTTCTGAATTTCATGATCTTTCTCTCAGAGTCCTACAGGCTGCAAAACACACAACGTCACAGACAGGCGCTCACACTCTTGAAAATTCCCAAAAAAAACCTCTTGACAAGTTCCTTCCCAAGACAAACTGTAGTATTGGAAAAGACTGAGTTGTTTCCACAAACGCATCCGACTGGTTTTTGAACTAATTCTGCGTCTCGTCATATCATTCCATTTTGAAGTTCATACCATGATTGGCTGAGAACGGGATTCCCCGTGAAAATGGTGATCATCTCCAATGGCAATTATGCTTCGTAAAATCCCAAACTCATCATCCATCGCCAACCATAAAAATCAAAGTTAGCATGTATATGATTAATCAACTAGAAATATCCCCAGTCAGTTTCATGGTTAAAAACTACCCTCTGGTAATTTAACGTAGCTATTGAAAATGGCCATAGAAATAGTGACTTTTCCCATTAAAAATGGCCATTTTCAATAGCTACGTTAAATTACCAGAGGGTACGTAACTTGTTACAACTCCCAACCATCCAACCAGTGATCATCCCATCATCGGATCATCGGATCGCCTGCGCCGTTGGATACACGGCAATCACCACAGGTTGATCTGAGATGCCACCGCCGTCCAGTTGGAGGTCTCGATCTGCGCGGTCATCGTTGGACGCACGCAGCTCCTGTCAGGTGAAAAAGAACGGGTCCAGCGACATGGAAAATTCATGTTTCACACTGTGGAAAAACGATGAAATACCATGAAATATATTAAATTGAAATGTGCTTAATTGTGTGTAAGGCAAGTTTTTTTCAAGTTCTTGTTGCTTTGGATATTTCGCCCTAATATCGCCCTAATATCGCCTTTCAAGCAGCAACATGCAACAACATGCAACAACTGTATTGGTAGCGGAGATCTGAGCTCGCCACGAAGCGATAGGTCTTCGTGGCGTCCAACGGGGGACCGGACTCGCCGAAGGTGTTGGCAACGGGGATGGTGACGTCCGTGAAGGAGGCCGGGATGATGGGGCTGAAGGTCAGGAACGCCACCTGACCGAATCTGTAAAACAAAAAAGGGAATGACACCATATTGATTGATAGTAATGACATATATATATATATATACACATGATATATGAATTATATTATATATATATATATTAATGACATCATATTTTGATAGTGATATATAGTGATTATATTGATTGAAGCAATGATTTGGAGATGTTGATTAAAATTTATGCATGAGATTGAATGTAAGGATGTATGCAGAGTATCAGTCGCGATGAGTTGTACAAGATTCTCAAGTCAAACAAAATCAGGTTGGACTGTTTGGACTTGTTGGTTCGGAGTTGTTGCAGGTGAAAACGCTACGACTAAAATTCATTTATCTTGGAAACATCAACACTGACCCACCTCCACTTCCACGTCATAGTCGAAAGCACCACCCAAACCGTTGTCCTTGGCACAGCAAGAGACTCTGCTCTTGCAAGGATGGTCCGACCAATTTGAATCCCAAACGTCCTTCGAAAAAAAGGCCATGATTCGCAATGTTTTTTTGCGGTTTTTTGGTTTCGGTTCTCTAAACGGCCTTGTCGCCAAGTCACATGTTTCAACCTGTAACTGGTAATGCTTCGGCCATTGGGATGCAGAGGCGGTGTCCAGCGCAAGCGCACCTGGGTCATTTTTGGCCCAGAGTCAGAGAATGGGAAGAGGGTCATTGCAGGTCATTGTAATTAAGAAAATCTAACAAATATCAACGAATATCAACAAACAGCATCAAAGAACATCGAAAATCATGAAGGGTTGGGAAAGGTTTTGACTTTATGATGCTGAAAGGTTGTTGAAAGTGGGCTTTTCTTCGAAAGCTGAAGCTTGGTGGCACCGGCCTTGCCATCCTCGTATGGCTCCACACGCTCGAAGGACTGAACTGCTCCGGGGACGTCCAAAACGTTGATGGTCTTTGGATATCCTCAACGAAGCCAACACAGTCATTGGGAAATACCCCATGGTTTAATATGGTTTATAGGGATGATTTGCTGGGATAATGATGGGATAATACAGGGATATTGATGGATATACCCGGCCTGGTAATGACTAACAGTTTGCTATTGAAAATGGCCCAGTCGAAATAGTGGATTTTCCCATTGAAAATGGTGATTTTCCATGGTTATGTAAACGTTTACCGGAGGGTACAGTATCACACAGTGTCACTGTGCTCACTGTACAATCAGACAATTTCCAGCACCATTCCAGTCCAGGCATCCCAAGAGCAATGTCTTCGAATGGTACAAGTACCTTGGCTGCTTCACCACGACCATCTGAGAGCATTAGGCGGTACGATTTTGTGCAGTCGGTCACCTCTTTTCGTTCCATTTCTAGGGTTGTGGTGTTTTTACTATGAAAGATATGGTTTCCATTATGGAAATATGATTGAGAAGTCTATGACTTTTTATGATTATTCTTTGCTGGCCTTGCTGGCCACACAATTTTTTTTGTCTCGCTTGTCTCGCTTGGCCCATTGATGATACTCGAGAGGTCGCCTATTCTTACCCTCTGGTTATGTCAAAATAGCTATTGAAAATGGCCCATTTATAGATGGTTTACCTAATAAAAATGGGTGGATTTTCTATAGTTATGTAAACGTTTACCAGAGGTCCACTATTCTCTTCGAACGCTGAGGAACGTTGAGGGCAGCAAGCTCCGAGCAGCTGCATCGTTCTCCCAGAAGAGTTGAATCAGAGGTGACTCTGATGGCCGCGAGGTCCAGGCAATCTGAATGACATACCTGGGTGCTTTTTCGGAAAAAAAACATGGGAATTTGTGTGGGAAAATCATCTCCATAATATATGGTATATATGGGAAAATTGAGCTCAATAATCATATCCCATGGGAAAAATCATGGTATTATTGACTGGGATATTTTTTTTTTGAGCTCTGGTATACTATATTAAATAATATTATGGATATATCCTATGGTATTGAGATCAATATTGATATTATGGAGTATTCATGCCACTGCCACGCAAAAACCAACGCTCTGGGCTTCCAGCGGCTCGGAGGCCTTGAGGCTCAAAGGACCGATGGCGGCTTCCAAGTCCTCACAGGCAACGTCTCTGTACGCAACGCACCAAATAAAAACCTGACAGAACGTGTGGAAAAAAGATATGATCTATAAATATCTATTATATATCTATAAATACAAATATCTAGAAATATCTGTAATAATATATATGGCGGAGTATAATATATATATATATACATATTATATAATTAAAAAAACAGGCAAATAGGTCCTCATTCAGTTCGCCCAGTGCATGCACTGTGGCACGCAACTGATTCTCGAAGATCAGTGTGGCTTCCTGGGACCAGGGTTTTGAATCTAAAAGAACAAACTTTGGTTACTGATGTTCATGGATGATCATAGATATTCATGGCAGTCTGATGGTAATCTGATGGTAATCTGATGGTAATCTGATGGTAATGGATGGTAATTAACTTCCAGAAGTTTTTGGCAGTGAATATTCATAGTAATGATTGGATATTCATGGTAATCTGATGGTAATCTGATGTTAATCTGACTGATCTGCAAGGATTCTTATTCATTCATAGTAATGATTGGATATTCATGGATGGTATTACCAGAATATCATAGAATATCCAGATTGGCAGTGATTACCATCAGATTCATGGTAGTCTCATGGTAATCTGATGTGAATCCGACTGATCTGAATCTGCATTTTTCAATGAAAATCCCATGGCCTTTCCACGGCAGCGTAGGATGAAGCTGTAGTTTGCTGTCGTTGGTGGAAGCACAATGGCATCCCAACGAGCTGAAGGAGCAGCGTTTAGGGAGGTCGCATCACTCACATTGACCTCCTGGAAACGGGTGTGATATCGAAGTCGTTCTCTTTACATTTCAATAGATGTTGCTCTAATAGATAGCAATAGTAATAACAAGTAATCATAGATATATAAATAATAGATAATAATTAGTAGATGATAATGGTGAATTTTTCAATACACTACATTTCAATGCGTGTCATCTATCATAGATCTGCGGAACATTTGTTTCAACCAAATTGATCTAAAATCAGGTATTTGGACTTGATGTTCACAGCAAACAGGCGTTCTTAGAAGTGGTTGATGTGTGGAAACTGTATCTGCACATAGAAAAAAAATTTTGTACATTATAATTATAGACACATGAACACATATCATATATCATATAACATATATCACATATCACATATCATATATCATATATCATATATCATATAACATATATCATATATCATATATCATATAACATATAACATATAACATATATCAAATATCATATAACATATAACATAGATCATATATCAAATATCATATATCATATAACATATAACATACACCATATATCAAATATCATATAACATAAAACATATATCAAATATCATATAACATATAACATATATCATATATCAAATATCATATATCATATAACATATAACATACACCATATATCAAATATCATATAACATAAAACATATATCAAATATCATATAACATATATCATAGATCATATAACATATAACATATAACATATATCAAATATCATATAACATAAAACATATATCAAATATCAAATAACATATATCATATAACATATATCACATAACATATATCACATAACATATATCATATATCATATATCATATAACATATAACATATAACATATATCAAATATCATATAACATATAGTCGAGATGCGAAAAGCAACAAACAAGCGACAACGAACCATCCTTGCACCTTGCAGGCCATGATACAAAACTATGTGCCTCGAGCCACCATCTGGTGGGAACATGCAATTGTGAAACATGTGAAACCTTGGCATGCAGAACATGGATATGGAGGTACCGTGTCAGTCGGGTGTGTTCATGGGTGTGAGTTTGTGGCATTAGGCTGTGAATGTGTTATCACGTCGTGTTTGTATGCCTCTGTGCGCGCTGCAACTCTTGTCTAATTGGAGCAAACGAATGTTTCTTGAAGTTGTGACGGATCCGAAAAATTCCACGCATCACCTCCAAAATAGCATTTCGGCTGATTGTTCCTTTTGTCATGGCATCAGCATACATATCACGCGTATCGCACCAAATCAAATTTCGAGGAGCGCACAAAGTGGCATTTCGCAGCCACCACAAATGAGGAAACAGGGACTTCTCTGCTGGCAATTTCTTGGTCGAATCTATCATGTGCTGAAACAGGTTCATGGCGTCCACTGCTAGAGTTGAATCAAACACAAAATTGGACTGTTCTCGGGCTTGTCTGAGTTCTTCTACATTATAGGGACCACAAATTATCTCGTTCAGGGCAATCATGATGGGTATCAATGCATCTGTTGAACCTACTGCTGCCAAAGTTTCTGAGGAAAACGTGCTTCTGGTCACTAGTTTTAAAGACTGGCTGGTCGCATCTAGTAGGTGACAAACTTCTTTACCCCCAGAGTCCTTACCTAAACGAAGAATAACCGTCCCTCTCATACCATAACCCTTGCTTTCACTTTCCTTGCAGAAAGAGGCGTCTGAAAATGTCATGATGTGCCGGCTGCATGACATGTTGGGGTAGGTTATGCTTACCTTATGCTTTTGAAGAACTTTCAGCAAGGAGTTCAACTTTCGAACGTGTTGATTTTGCGGTTTGTGGGTATATCTTTGGAGGGCTATGACATAAACTGCGATCCAATGTTGGGTCAACAAGGTGTATGCCACTGCGCCTAATAATGACCAGAACAACCGAGTTACAGGATCGGTGCATGGTGCATCGGACGCTTGGCCCGTGAGCTCAGCATGCACAATTGGTCGCATGGCGCCAATGTATTCGTTTTGGTCAAGGACAATTGCGCCATTTTCTTGTCTGTGATGGTGGATTCCTACGCAGGTAAAATTGTTGTCATTGCGATCAATTTTCCCAAAAACAGCTTCCAGTTCAGCAATGAGGTTCTGCACCTCTGATTCTTCGCCTGCAATTTTTAAATCATCTACATGTTTGCAAATGATAAGGACAAGCTGATTATTTACGTGCTTTACCTCGGTCTCTGGATCACCATTAAGGGGTTGAAGGCCTACCTTAGGGCTACGGGTTACAGAAGCTAATTTGATACTGAAGGCTCTAGGGGCGTCTTTACACCCGGTCCCAGGCTTGATGCATCTTAAAACATGATATCTCTCATCGTATGTCTGAAATCCTGGCAACATACGGAGGAACACAGCAGCACCGGGCGGAAGAGTAAAATGGACAACTCTTTCGGCTTCCCCTGTTGCAGCTGACATTTCTGCATATGTTACTCCTTGAAGGAAAGCTTTGTTTATGTCCAATGAGAGGAATGACCATGATGGCCGTGTGGCCGCTTCTGAAATCAACAAACGTTGTGAGGTTCTATTTGCTGTGGCCGCATGAGCATCAAGGAGATCTGCACACCATTCTTTGAAACAACGTAGCGCCATTCGCATTCGGATTATTCTACTGTCATATGGGCGTGAAGGGTCTTTAACTTTCCATTTAGCAACAAAACGGGAATCAATTATGTTTTCAGCGCCCTTTCGTTGGACCATTCTGAAACAATTATATTTCTGCCAAATGCGCAGCTCTTCAAGAATTGCTTGGTCTACATCTTGCTTATGGGTGACCAGTTCTTCTTTGGTGAGAAGATCAGAAGCACGTTTGACTACTTCTACCTTACCAGTAGCATTGTAAATTCGAATGGCCAACATTTCATCTTCTGCCAAACAAGAGGTGTCACCAAAACAATTGCTCATTTGGGGGGATACAAATAATTCTGTAATGAATTGTTCTTGGTCATCACCTCTGCTTGACCCCGGGAAGTCAATATCAACATCGGGTTGATAGTGGGTATCTTCAGGAGGGGAATAAACTAGTGGGATGTCATCATTTTTTCTTCTACTTTGTATTCTACCGCATCTTGGTATAAGTGCCACAAATCAAACAATTCAGGTCTATCAGTGCAATCAGCATGGGGAAAATGATCTTGCAAAAACGCCGAAAACTCAGGGTTTGACTGTGCTGTGGATGGTTCATGTTCACTTTCATGCGTGCCTTCCGGAATTGTAGAAAGGCGATCAGCTTGATGGTCACGAAGTACTAGCTGATCACCGGTTGGCTCTCCATGTGTGGCATCAGTGGCATCAATGCAATCACAGAGTCCGGATGGACTGACACTGTTATGCAGCAACTGAATGAACAACGTTTCTTCCAACTGACTACCAACAAGTTCCTTCAACAAAACCTTGGCTGTGTCTGTGGTGTATACGGATGGTTCTGACTGGTGACTCTCGTTCCAATGCAACAGAGTTGAATGTGTGACATGGGCGGCTGGAGGCAATGACTGGCAGCCCCGTCCTAGCCTGACTGCATGGCACTCGTCAAAATTCCACACGTGTTCAACCAAATAGTCTACTGCCCTTACCAGTTGTGTATATTTTTTGGTGTCAGGGGCTAAATGGGTGCTTCCGTCTGATCCCGAAATAAACCCCAATGTTATGAACTGTCTTACTGGCAGGCTCTGCACGGTGGAAAATAAGATCTGAAGTGCCTCCTTTGTTGAGAACACAACGAAAATTTGAAAGGACACGTGGGCATACAGTGTGTGTCGCACATCCTGCAGTCTGCATGGCTTCGGACGGCCATTGATTCTTATGACAATGGTTCCTTCTTGTGGTTTCACGTCCAAAACTTCGGCTGGTCCATGCCATCCTGAGATATCTTTTGGAGAAGGCCTGTGATAATCCACCAAGTCTCCAGGATTATACGATATTTGCGTGGCAGCAACAGTTTTGGATCGCAATGCACGGGACGTGCGAGCAAGACTTGTGGCCTGAATCATGGCTTCTAATGCTGCAGTTCTTATGTGCTGCCGGGATCTCTCAGCCAAAGAACCCAGCTCCTCTGAAGCGTCAGTCATGTTTTCTTCTGGCAGTGGAGGAAGCATAGCCGGTGAACGGCCGTACACGCATTGGTATGGGGTAACCCCGCCAACATGGATGAGGGCATTGCCGGCAAACACAGCTTCGGATAACACAGCATCGATTGAGGAGTCAACCCCTTCACGGGTGAGTTGTGCTTCGATGCAATGCATGCTGAGTCTCAGCAACGCTCCCCGCCTCTCAATGAAACGAGCATGCTGGCCTGGGGCTCTCAATTTCGGTTCTATTCCTAAACGTCGCAGGCGACTTTGGGCTGATGGGCTCATGAGACCTAGCTCACCATCGCAAATCAACTGCTGCATGGGACCGTGCGCTGTCAACCAGCTCTTGTGGAGGGCATCGAAAAGCTCACTCTCATTCTTAGAAACAACCCTCATCGCAGAATGCCATCTGGTGCAGCAACAAATGAGATGGAAAATGACGAACTCGCGATAGAACAACAAATCGCATTCCACGTGCTCATTAAATTTGGTGGACATGCGCAAAGTGGGTATGGTTTCATTGGCTGGACGAGACCACATGCGGCACTCCCTGCAAGTGTCTACTATATTGGCAATTTCGTTAAGCACCTGCGCACTCAGACCTGCTGCGGACAACACACGGCGCATAGATTCTTTGGACGCATGCCACCATCGGAGGTGCAGTTTTCGCAGCTCTTTTCTCTGAACTGCGGGACTACCGGCTGCTAAGGCTCGCAAGGATCTGCTGATGTCAAACCGCGTCCAATCAGCCGGCTTTTCCTGTCCGACTGCAGCGTCTTGGAAGGTTCGGCGATGTCTGGTGGCAGAATTGCGGTGCTCTGCATTTGCGGATGCGTTGGGTGCAAAAAGAGATCTATCTACACTGGGATCATTGTGGAAAATTGTAACGGAAGTGTCTGCAATGCATGG